TGAATTGGATATTATCCGATAAGTACACAGAAGCAAACAAAATATAAAATTTGCACATAAGATCTCCCTGCCAGTGTAATAAGGGAACCTGCTCTGCCTTATGCATACAAATCTTCCTCTACTTAAAACAGGGTTAAGTTCTGATAAGCCCATTATAAGTTGAAAATATCCTAAGTTGAAACGCCTTGAATGCATTTAACATACAGAACATTGTACCTTAGCCTAGACTCCCTTAAATGTGCTCAGAACACTTACATTAGCCTGCAGTTGGGCAAAAGCATCTCAAGACAAAGCCTGTTTTATAGTAAAGCATTGAATATTGCATGTAATGTATTGAATACTGTACTGAAAGTGAAAAACAGAATGATTGCATGTTTACCCTCATGATCAAGTGGTTGAGCGGGAGCTGTAGCCCTGCTCTGCATCATGAGGGAGTATCATCCTGTATACACCTAGCCCAGGAAAAGATCAAAATTCAAAATTTAAAGTACAGTTTCTACTGATTGTATATATTGCTTTCATACTATTGTAGAATTGAAAAATCATAAGTTAAGCTATTGTAAGTCTGAGACCATCTGTACATACCCTGAATTATAAATAGGACCACAGTTAAAACCTACCAGTCAAAATGCAGCCCTGCTTTCATCCTTCCCATAGCATATGTAACTAAGGGGGGCAAGGCTTGTTTCATAGCAGCATCTTGGTTTTCATATTTTCCAAGGTATATATACTTTATTTATATATTAAACATACAGAAATATGTTCTTCTACATTTTTTCTTGAAACCTGACTCTATATATCTATGCATCTTTTTATTTTTTATCCATTTTGAACAGAGACATGAGTACTCAATCTATTCCACTTTTCTTTCTTTCTTCTTCTTTTTTAGGGGGAGGGGCAGAAGGAGAGTCTTAAGCAGACTCCACACCCATCATGTAGCCTGATGTGGGGCTCCATCTCACGCCCCTGAGATCATGACTTGAGCTGAAATCAAGAGTTGGATGCTTAACCAATTGAGCTACCCAGGCACTCCCCACTTTGCTCTTTTTTTTGTATAAGAAAGACAGAGTGCATGTCATGGCAAATGATGCATAGCCTTGGTGTTGAGGAATAACAGGGAGTGGTGAGGACTGCAGCAAACTGGAAAGCATGGCTTTAGCTGAAGACAGCAGCCCTTTTGCAATGCCAATCAGCTGTTGGCACAGAGAACTCGGGCCCTGTGTTGCCAGGTTTTCCAAAAATTTAAGAAGAAACTGGAAATCTAGACTAATGTAAAATCACCTAATTATCCATATTGCTAACTAATTTAATGTTGAACTTGTCACCAGGTAAGTTGAACAAAACAGACCTATAGGTCAAATTGAGCCAATGGCCACCAGTTCGCAACCTCTGTTTTTTTTTTTTTTTTTTTTTTTAGATTTTACTTATTTATTCATGAGAGACACACACACACAGAGGCAGAGAGAGAAGCAGGCTCCACGTGGGGAGCCCGATGTAGGACTCGATCCCAGGACTGCGGGATCACGCCCTGAGCCAAAGGCAGATGCTCAACCACTGAGCTACCCAGGCATCCTCACAACCTCTGGTTTTAACGGTCACATAGAACCACAGGCCTATCATAAAACTGTAATTGAAGTGGCTGTTTCTAAGCAATGTAGAAATATATTCTAAGCTTGGCTCTAAGAAGGTCAGTTGTATTTCCAGCTGATGTGATTCTTTATAAGCAATAGAGAAATAGAGAATTAAGAGAGCAATTCTCTATGGTTAGTAATTTATTCTAAAATAAGGTATTCCAGTACAGAGCAGCTTCAAGGAGGAGAGAATCACATTCACAGTGAGTATGAACAGATGAAGAGAGAAGCCCGAAGCAGACAATTTTTGTCAGAATGCACTTTGCCTTGTGTGCTGATGCCACAGGGGGCCACTGTAGCTCCAGAGCGGCTTTGGCTGCGGGGGCTTCACCCTCTTGAAGCTGGGTGTGCGGTGTCCCCTCTCTTGCAGTCGTGCCCTTTGCCAGAATCTCACCACCGTCAGTTATAGAAACTAACATCCAAATGGCCATTATCTTGCACCAGACACTCTGGTAAATGCCATGTATGTCAGTAACACCTCCATCCTCCCAACAACTGCTAGGAAAAACTCTTTGTCATCTTCATTTTACAGATTTCATATACCTCATAAATAACAGAGCCAGGTGTCACCAGGCAGCATGATCCCAGAGCCCCCAGTTCATAATTCCTACCTTCTCTGGGACCTCTTGGTTGCTAAGAGGTCTGTCTTGTGACAGGGAATTCACTACCACTAAGGATCTTCTGCAACATTTGAAGTCCTTACCCATTTGTGTACTTCTCTTATGCGTCTTCCTCTTCGGCCCTGGGACTTGTCAATCTGCCACTTACTAGATAGTCAACTTAGTAAATTGCATGGCCTTTCTGAGCCTCAGTTTCCCCATCAATAAAATGGGGACAGGAGGGAGATGGCTGGATCAGATTTCTCAGGGTTCTATCCACTGTAAATGTTCTGGGATTCCACAATGCTCAGGGAATACCAATGATTTCAAGGCCACATGCATACCCATCAATCAGCATGTCATTGAAGGTCTTGGCTCTGGCACTGCCCTGCCCGCCGGTCCCTGCTCCAAACCCAGAAGTTTTTATTTATTTACTGCAAGTGTGTATCTCTAGGAGTCCTGCCTAACCCTCCCTCCTCTGAAGCCCCCACAAACTCTCCTTCCCTCCTCCAGAGGCTTGATGCCTCTCCTGCCTTCTCCAGGCCATGCTTCTCTCTTCCCATTCTGAAGACTGTTCACATTAATCCCAGATGTGTACAGAATCCAGATATGCAGCCCTTTACAGGGGCCAGAGCGCTGCGGGGTGCGAGTTTTCTTATGGAGAGACTCACAGCCACTTGCCCACATCAGGACCATCATGTCCACTATCCAGATGAAGAAATTAAAAAATCAGAAATAGCAGGATTTGTCTAACTTTGCTCCGTAGCCCAGGCCAGAACTGGAGTGGAAACCTAGCTCCTGACCACAGGCTGGAGCTCCCTTGGGAGCCCTCACTGGCCATGTAGGCATTAACCCTTTCACGCTGGGGCGCTGCATGTCTCCAGTGGGTCCAACCCCCTTGTTCTCGGGTCCAGGGTGTGACAAGTGGTGAAGAGCATGGGTGCTGGCACCTGTCCTGCATAGGTTGGGCATGTTTGAAGCCTCAGCTTCCTCATGTATGAGATGAGGTGGGGATTAAGTGAGATAACATAGGTATAGGTAGCCCCTGCTTTTCAAAAGTTCACATTTAACCACTTTGCTTTTATGAAAGACCTATGGGAATACCTGTTTTCAGTAATTGAAAGAAATTCTGAGAGGATTTTCACTTACGAGACTCAAAGGGGCAAAGCAAAAATAGTGCTGAGTATCTTGTGGGCAAGCTGTTATCGATGCAGCGGGGAACCCCAAGCAGTGTGATTGGCCCCCCACAAGCATCTCAGCATCAAGCTGTCACCGCTTTGGACTGGGTCTGTGAGCATCTGTGCTTTATCTCAATTTATTTTGGGCATCGTTAGCAAGATGTGTCCTAAGGTACCAGAAAAGCCTAAGAGGGGTTATTTTTGGGAACTCTCAAACATTTTCCTATATAAATCAAAGGTAACTGCTTCTTCCTTTACATCGTTTTGGCTCATGAAAGATTTCATAGGAACGTTCTACTTTCCGAGGGTGGTGTGTGTGTGTGTGTGGGGGGGGTGGGATGGGACCCGTAAAGCATTTATTTAGCACAGGGTCTGGGAAATAATAAGCGCTCGATAAATGTTAGCTATCATGTCCGTCCCATCTCCGGGGGCCTAACTCAAATAACTAGAAATGAAAACCAGGAACTGACCATGGGGGCCACAGCCCACCGTGGCTACCTGGTGCATCAGGAAGAGGGGCTCTCAGGGCTTGCCAGCTTCAGACCTGTGTAGGTCCCCTTGGACCTCCACGGTGTCTCCTCTCACCCCCAAATCTTGCTCCCCTGTGCGTGCTGGTAGTCCGAATGAAAAGCCACCATTTGAGGGCTTAGCCAGTGCCAGGCCCTGTGCTAAGCTCTACACACGAGGGATAGTCACACGGGCCGGGGTTGGCTTCTGGAGGCTGAGCCCGGTTCCCCTTTTCCACATCATCGCAGAGCCTGGAGTGGCGGCTCACCTGGGACTGTGCCCCTTCGCTCACCCTTTATGGGCATTTCCTACCACCAGGCACTACATTAGCCAGATAACAAAACAAATACTACATTCTCACCCTCCTGAAACGTGCATTCCCCGGGGCAGGGGGTGGAGGCGGCTCGCAAGTTATAGAGAGGAAAACTTTGGAAATATTCGATCCGTTTAGATGTTTTATTAGGATTATTCTTTGCAGGGCAGCCCGGGTGGCTCAGCGGTTTAGCGCCGCCTTCAGCCCAGGGCCTGATCCTGGAGACTCGGGATCGAGTCCCACGTCGGGCTCCCTGCATGGAGCCTGCTTCTGCCTCTGCCTCTGTCTCTCATGAATAAATAAATAAAATCTTAAAAAAAAAAAAAGGAATATTCTTTGCTGCATGTGTTTCTATGGAAGACGTTTACACCAGCCCCCTCCCTCTCCAAGACGGGCTCCCGCTTGCGGGCATCGCCGTGCCCCTGGGCTTGGCGCATCAGGCAGGAGCCCCGGGGCCCCGTCCCGCTGTGCGATCTCGGGCGTTCGCGGCGTCTCCCTGTGTCCAGCCTCAGTTTCCTGCTCCGTCACTTGAGGACAGCGCCGCGACCGCGAGCCTCCCGGGCTGCCGGAAGGATCCCATTGGCTGGTGCACGGAGGGCGCTCGGCCCGCGGGGCAGCCCCGACCCCGACCGACGCCCGCTCCCCCGGGCGACCGCGGCGCGGGGCTGGCCCGAAGGTTACGTAAGGCCGGGGAGGGGGTGGGGGGGGTGGCGGCCGCGGCCCCGAGCGCGCCGTCGGGAAAGGGGCGTGGGGACCCCCGGGGCGTGAGCGCGGCGGAGTCGGGTTTCAGAGCGCGGGTGACTCAGGGGAGCCGCGAGGCCGCCCGCCCCGCTGCCCAGCGCCGCCTTTGTTCGCTGCAGGAAGGGCGAGCCGGGCGCACGGGGCCTTCGGGGGCGCGCGGGGCTGCGGGATGGCGCCAAGGTAGGACCCGCTCCCCCGCGCCCCGGGCCCGCGGCCCGCCCGCCCGCCTCACCTTCTGCCCCCGCCACCTCTTGCAGGAGGGACGCGCGCTCCTGGCGCCTGCTGTGGCTGCTCTGGGTCTCCGCGCTTCTCCCCGCGCTCACCCGGACCCGCTCGGCGACAGGTAAGCCCGGGCCTCGCGGGCACCGCTGCCCCGCGCCCTCGCCCCGCGCCCCCGCCCCGCGCCCCCCGGGCAGCTGCGCTCGGCGGCGGGCGTGCCTGCCCTGCGCTCCTCATTCCTGGACATAAAAGGGAGTCCTCGCCGCTCCGCGCCCCGGCGGTGCAGGGGGTGCGAGGGGGCGAGCCCGAGGCCCCGGCACGGGGGAGCGGGCGCGCCCTCGGGGCACGGTGCAGCGGGGCGCGGGCCCTCCGACCGCGGTGCACAGCCCCCCCCCCCGGCGCCCGCGCGCGGGCCGTGCACACAGGTGCGGGAGGTGACCACGGCGGGGACCCCCGGGGCCTGTGCCGCGCGAGAAATAACGGGACTGAACGAACCTCGATGCTGCTTCACTTAGCTCCAGGTTAGCTGCGGGAGTCCCCGTCCGCCCTCGCAGTGGCGCCCTGGGTGATGAGAAGAGCTAGGGGCGGGGAGCCAGGGGCCCCGGTCCCTCCTGTTCCCCGAGCCTCACCTTCCCCCACCAGCACCCAGAGGTGGGTGGATGACTGACGACTGTAGCCGGAGTTAAAGCACAGTTCGGTTAAGGGGTGTGTTCAGGCTGCTTGAATCGTTCGTTGGCTGAGTTAGGTGACCCGGCTCAGGGCAGGGAATTTCACCTCTCTGTGCCTCAGTTTCTTCATCCAAAAGAAAAAGGGGGGGGGGATAATTAGACCACCTTTCCTGGGGGATGCCGTGAAGATTTACAAGAGATATTAGAAATATCCAATGTTTCCACGCTGCGGCCCATGCAGGCACGAAGTAAGTGGTAGAATTTACGGGTGGATCTTTGCACTCCCGCGTTAGCAAGCAGTGCAGGCAGTTTGACAGCAGAGGACACTGAGGAGGAGAGACTTTTCAGAAGTGGCCTGTCCAAAAGGCGGGATCTGGGCTCCCATCCTTCCTCCCTCAGTCCTTTCTCCTTACCATTTTGCACGACTCTCTAGTCCCAGCAGTAGCCTCCCTCTCCTTTTGGTTTTAGAAAATCCGTACATAGCCTCAATAGAATAAGTGTGTGTGAGGAGGGGTAACAGCCTCTCTGTCCTTTTGAAGGAAACAGACCATTGAGGGTGGCCCAGGTTAACTCTTTGTGTGCCAGAGGAAGCCCGGGACAGCCTGGATCATTGTAACCTTGGGAGCAAGACCCAAACTCGCAGTGGCCACTTTTCCTGCCAGAGCCTCCGGCCTGGCATTTCTTGCAGATCAAAGGGCAGCTGGAGCACAGTATTGGCTGCTCAGCACCGTGGTCCATGTGGAAATGCTGCAGTTTGGCATGTGATATGGGGTATTGCCAGCTCAGTGGCAGAGGGCAGCTTCGTGTTTCCCGGTCTTTTGTGAATTTTGCTGCAACCCCCACCTCCCAAAGGAAGAAGATTCTGGGGAAAGAGACTTTGGTGTTTCTTTCTCCTCTTGTGTTTGAAGGCTGGACCCCTCGATGTCAAGTCAGTTGTTAGAAACAACACAGAGGATGTCCTGTTCCCATCCATAACGTAAAAGGGGAGTGCCAGGAAACCCTCAGAAGCTGAAAAGGGCAAGGAAAGGGCCATTTGCAACTGATGGGTATTCAGCGTCCCTCTGGGCCTCTGCAGAGACTTCCTAGACGTGTGAAACATCCTCCTGCAAACCAGATTTTGCGGGCAGTTTAATCATGCTCACGCTTATAAACAAATCACTTTCTGCATTCAGGCAGAGGTGTGAGCAGGTCCAGGTTACATTTATCCAGTCCTCAAAATTGCCCCCGGAGGCAGGCACTGGAGCTGTTTATGTGTCTGTGCTTCAATAAGGAAACCACTTCCCAAAGTCTCCAGGCTCCCCAGGCACTGAGGGTTTCCTGGCCCACCCGGCTTAAAGAGACCCTTGTCCATGGGACCCTGTCCCCCACGCCGATCCTCATGCCCCTGATGCATCACGGCCCAGCTAGTAAAGTTACAGTGTCATTGGAATACCTACTATGCAGATAAGGAGGTTGTTTTGGAGGCGGGGAAAAGTGGCTCCACAAGTAATTTGTTCCTGCTAAGAAAATCCTTATATGTGCAAATATTTACTTTCCTTTCAACTGTTTTACTGTGAAATATAACATCCATTCAGAAAAGTGCACACAGAAAGTACAGCCCAATGGTTTATAACGGAGCAAACACCCCTATAACCCAGGCAGAGAAATAGGCTAGCCCCAGAAGCTCTCCTGTGTGCCCCTTGGATGCGATCATGCCCTCCCTACCCTCAGAGGTAACCATCACCTTGACTTTTATGTTAACTTCTTCCTTACTTTTTAGGAATAACTTTAGTACCTAAGCGTTCATCCTCAAATTCTACAGTTTCATTTGACTTGCGTTTGAACTTTATACATGGCGTCTTTCACTGAATATTAAGTTTTGAGATTCATTTATGCTGTTGCATGTGGGCTGTAGCGAATCCATCTTTGTTGCTGTATAGTTTTCCACTGTATTGATGTGCTATACATTATCTATTTTTCTCCAACAACATTTGAGTCATTTCCATTTTGGCAGACATAGCAGAGTGTTTCTGCACGTTCTCGTACATGTGCATGTATTCTGGTAGATTCTATATCTAGGGGTGGAGTGCTGGGAGACAGCGTGCACAGATCCTCCAACTGAACACACAGTGCCAGCCCAGCCTACTCTATGGTTGTACTGAGGTGCACGGTCATCAGCGTGGCATAAGAGCCCCCATTTCTTCAAATTCCCACCAGCACTCAGTCTTGTCGCTGGACTGAATTTCAGTCCTTCTAATGAATACATAGTAGAATTTAACTATAGTGTTAATATATTTTCCTATTATTTTTCTCAAAGATTTTATTTATTTATTTCAGAGAGAGAGAGAGAGAACAAGTAGGCAGAGCAGCAAGCAGAGAGAGAGAAGCAGACTCCCCACTGATAGGGAGCTGGATGTGGGGGGGTTGATCCCAGGACCCTGAGATCATGACCTGAGCTGAAGGCAGACATTTAACCAACTGAACCACCCAGGTGCCCCTATTTTCCTGATTATTAAGTTGATTACCTTTTCAAATGTTTATTGGACATCTGGTGGTTATCCTGGTTGCCTTTTTTTTTTTAAATGAGATTTTTCTTTTTTAGATTTTATTTATTTATTCGAAAGAGAGAGAGAGAGAGAGAGAGAGAGAGAGAGGCAGAGACACAGTCAGAGGGAGAAGCAGGCTCCATGCAGGGAGCCTGATGTGGGACTCGATCCCCGGACTCCAGGATCATGCCCTGGGCTGAAGGCAGGTGCTAAAATGCTGAGCTACCCAGGGATCCCCACTTTTTTTTTTTTTTTTACCGAGGTGAAACCCACATAACATAGAGCTAGCCACCTCCATGTGTACAATTCGGTGGCAGTTCATACATTCATGCTGTGGTACAGCCGTCTCCTCTGTTGAGTTCCAAAACATCTTCATCACTCTAAAGAGTGAAAAGCCTTATTCCCATTAAGTGGTCACTCGCCATTACTCCCATGCTCACCCCACCAGCTCCTGGCAGGCGCTCAATGGCCCTCCATCTCTGTGGATTTGCCTATTCTGACTGTTCCATAAAATGGCATCATATACCCTGTACCTTTTGTGTCTGGCTTCTTTCACGTAGCATGATGTTTTAGAGGGTCCTCCATGTTGTAGTGTGTGCCAGGACTTCATTCTTTTTTTATGGCTGAATATTTCACTGCATGGATATACCATAATTCGTCTATCCATTTTTCCATTGATGGGGACACTGGGGTTGTTTCCTCCTCTTAGCTCTCATGAACAGTGCTGCTGTGAACATTTGTGTATAAGAATTTGAGTCCTTGTTTTACTTATTTTGGGTATATACCCAGTGGAACAGCTGGGTCATGTGGTCATTTCATGTGTAGGTTTTATAGAAACTCCCAAACTCTTTTCCACAGTGGCTGTACCATTCCACATCCCCATCAGCAGGGTACAAAGGCTCTGATTGTTCCACGTCTCTGTCAACACTTCTGACTTTCCATTTTTACAATTATAGTTATCTTAGTGGGTGTGAAGTGGTCTCTCCTTGTTATTTTGATTTGCATTTCCCTAATGACTAATGCCGTTGAGCATCTTTTTACATGCTTCTTGGCCATTTGCAGATCTTCTTTGAGGCAAATCTGAACACTAAGCAGAGCCAGTTTGAGTTTTTCCTCTAACCTTTTCACTCTTCTTGCTCATGGCTGTCTGATGTGCTTTCCTGAAGGAGAGAGAAGTGGCGAGGAGTCACACTTTAGATTTTCTCTCTCTAGCCTCTGGCCTTTCCTGTGTCCTGGCCTTAGTGAGCTACTGTTGCTCACATACCATTGGAGGTTGTGATGAAGATAAATGATTGTAATATTTTTTTATTTTTATTTTTTAAAAAGATTTTATTTATTTATTCATGAGAGGCACAGAGAGAGAGGCAGGGACATCGGCAGAGGGAGAACCAGGCTCCCTGTGGGGAGCCTGATGCAGGACTTGATCCCAGGATCACGACCTGAGCCAAAGGCAGACGCTCAACCACTGAGCCACCCAGGTGCCCCTGTAGTGTTTTAATTACTGGGTAAACTTTTTGGTTTTGTATAAAGTAGGGAATGCCTGTGGTCGCATCATGTGTTGCCTGTGTGTTTTACAGCAGAGTGCACACTGACAATTCCTGGCACACTGAACCACTCACAGCTCTTGGTGTACCGTAGGGATTTTGTAGTTCCTTTGACTTTGCACAAGATGTGAACTCATCTCCCTGTCTAGAGTACACTTCCTTGCCTTTCTGTTTCTTTTTGAGGACTAGTGCTACTTACCAGCCTAAATGGCACCCTGGCAGGGCCACTTTGAGGGTGTGGGTCATGCCTCACTTGTCCAGAAGTTGGCCACTAGGACTTCAGCTGTTTTGTCATTATTGTCAACAGTGCTGCTGAGACCATCTTCTGACAAAAGGCCTTTGTTTTCCTTTTGGATTATTATTATTTGGACTAGATTACCTCACACA